GCTGCCAAGCTGCCAATCTGAATTGCAGCGGTACCATATATGGCAAAAGAACGATGCTGCTGGCGTATGCAGATGATATCGATATCGTAGGTCTGAAATAAAGGGACGTAACCGCAGCATTTTCCAGTTTAGAAAAATAAGCTAAAGAGGTTGGTCTAGCGGTGAACGAGGGCAAGACAAAGGACCTCCTGGCAACATATAAAGAGTCCACGCGTTTCGGGACACATGTAACTGTTGGCAGATATAGCTTTGAAGTAGTGAAGGACTCTGTCTACTTTGGATCCCGCATAAACACCACAAACAACGTCAGCCTGGAGATCAAGCGAAGAATAACTCTTGCCAACAGGTGCTACTTTGGGCTCGGTAGGCAATTGAAAGCCAGAGCCCTCTCTCGACGAACGAAAATCACGCTCTACAATCTCTCATCATGCCCGTCCTTTTATATGGCGCAGAAACTTGGACGATGTCGAGCAAAGATGAAAAGGCTTTGGGGGCTTTCGAGAGAACTATTCTGCGCAAGATCTATGGCCCTGTTTTCGTGGATGACGGGTATCGGAGAAGATGGAATGACGAACTGTATGAGCTTTTTAACGACATGGACATAATTAAGCGCATAAAAATACAGCGATTGCGCTGGCTTGGACATGTTGTACGCATGGATGACGAAGCTCCGGTGAAAAGATCCTTCGACTCCGCACCCATGGGTGAACAACGAAAGCAAGGGCGCCCACGAACGCAATGGAAGAACCAAGTGCAGAAGAAGGAGCTGTCAGCGCTCGGGATAACCAAACTGGCGCAAATTCACACTGGAGAGAGGCAATTGGAAAACGGTTGTAGTGCCAAATTAGAAGAAGATATATTTTTGTATGTCTTTACATAACAAATTTAAAAAATATATGCCTCTTTTGGCTTTTTTCAAAGCTCATTTTGCCTTTTTTTTAAGTACCTTAAAATCTTACAGTTCTCCATTTCGAGGGGGGGTCAGAACACCTACAACCCCCGGTGCCTTATCTTCTTTTAACTCTTTCGATGCGAAAAGCAGAGAAATCTCGGTTTTAGTTATTTTTTTTAACTTCGGGTTATCATCAGTGTTGCCGTTTTGTTCCAAATGGATCAAAATGATACGTTTTTCATCGAATTTTTAAAAGATACTTTTATTTTTAGCTTAGTATGATACATTTTAATTCACATGTCGAGGGTAACTCTTCCCATCTTACAACTTTTATAATTTTGTGGCCACACATTAAGTTTGCTTCCTTTTATTGAACACACCACCTTTAATCTGCATATGGTATCACTGTTAGCTACAGAAAACTAGCCTGTTCCCGTACTCCAGAATATAGTCCGAAATAGTCCGAATTCGTTTCCTTTCACACATTTATCATATATTTTGCGAACAATTTCTCACTAAATCATGGAATGCGGGAACAGGCTAATATTGTCGTTCCTATTCCTTTTTGATTTTGAAGCTGTCGGATGTGGTTCTGGGCTAAAGACAGTGTCACACGATTGGTACATTTGTACAAATTTGTATATTTTGGCAGTCATAGAGTGGTGTTCTTTGGAAATTTGTGTTCTGCTCAGTAAAGGAATTTGCAAACAACACTACTCTGTAACTGCCAAAATGTACAAATCTGTACAAATGTACCAATCGTCAGTCATACGTCTTAGTTAGGCCGATCTGTAGCAGCCCCGGAATTGAGCTACATATATATCAAACTAAAGTGCAGCTGCAGTTGCAGTTGAGCGTGTTTGTCAAAAAAGTAAAAAGCGGCAGAAAAGTCGATAGTGAGTAATATAATTTCGGAAAAGATTCGGAAAAGTTACTAGGTATTAATCATAGTTTTGAAATATATTTCACGAAAGCAAAAAGTAAAAATAGCTGATATCCCTTTCTTTTTTAAACACCTAGGATATCACTGACCATTAAAAAGGATTTTTAAAATGAACGATCCAAAATTAACCGGTATACATATTTAAAATTTTGTATAACCAGTGGTTGAATTTGTGTACTGAAAGGATTAACCCTAAAAGTATAATCTACGTCTGCGAGGCGTATATGGAATGGGTATTTTTTTTTTAATTTTAACACAAAGTTTACTTTTTATTTTGTTGTTTTAAATAAAAATAAATGTGGTTATAGTTTTTATTAACAAAACTATGTTTTATTATTAGTCAAACTCACAACTTCAATATTCTTAAAAAAAAATAAGACAGGACTAAGTATATTTTAGCTCACAGGTAATCTTTTAAGTACATAAGAATCTACGTAGTATGTTGAGGCTTTACGTTACTCCCAATTAGATTAGGCTTCTAGGGTTAAGAAAGCTTTTGTTTGAAAGTGTGATATTAAATACTTTTCACCATGAACGACGCGAATTTTCAATGATTATTGCGTTTCAGATTAAAACCAATACCAGATATTGTGAAAGGTTGGACTATACCTTAAAGATGACGGTTTTCTCATGGCCCACTGCACGAAGCTTAGAGTAGAGTAATGTCTTTTAAGAACTTAAAATTTATCCTGGGTTATCAGGTGTCTAGCAACACAAGATTAAATGTTGTCTTTCACAAAGTTCTTTAAATAAATTTTGAGCTAAGTACTCGCACGTATTTCGAGGTTACTGCTAGTTTTAATAAATTGTTAGTTTAATTTCCTATACTATTTACCTTTAGGTTTATGCATTTTAAGAATACATCGAAAATTTGTTTTAGAGAATCAATATGAAATAATTGCAGAAATGATTAACCGGTTTGCTGAGCAACCGAGACGTCTTACTTTTTAAATAATTTTTGTAAACCAAATTGGCAAGTACATATCGCCTCCCGCATGCCAGAAACATGAATGTGTAAAGATGAAAATTTTGGGATTTTTTTTTATATGTGGGGCCCCCCCAAAATTCGATCCTGGCGACGCCCATGTCCGATGGTGCTATTCGTTTTCCAAAATTTTCCCATTTTCACGGTGAAAATTCGAAGCAAAGATTTATATGCAATTTTTCTCCATAATGATCGTTTTTATTATTGTTTTATTGTTGTAACATCAGGTTTTATTGTTGTAATATCAGGTCTTTTAACATAGAAATCATTAATAAAAAAAGTTCTTTTTTATCTCTCCGGGTTGTAAAGAGTTTTAGAGCGCGCCAAACCAGTCACGACGCTCAGTCGCGTCTTCGTTCACTTGCGCGAATTAAAACAACATACCGTGATTGCAAATTTTTACAAAATTGTCATTTTAACTCGCTATATCTCAGACATTTGAGTACCGATCGATTTGAAATTTTCACACAAACTATTCCAAAGAATTTAAGTTTAATAATGATTTTTTTTTTAATTCAAAATATGGATGTGTTATAAATTTCGAAGAATTTTTTTTGTTTTAATAAGAGCGTGTCAAACGGGGCAATATTTCCAACTTCTCACGCAATTCGCTGTCAAATTGAGAAAGAGAAATTTTATTTTGATGTGTGAACAGCCAGAAAGGCCAATCTGTCACATTTCAAAAACTAGTTTTAGAAATAAAATTTGCTTGTAATGCACTAGCAATCTGCAATTCGTCTTTCGGAAAAAAAAACCCTCTTTCGAAAGACACTTTATATGAAAGGTGTGACTGCTCATGCAAGTGCTTTCTGAAATTACACTAATTGACAGCCTTTTCGAAATATATTGCATTGCCACGTCTGGACGTCTCTATACAGTATCTAAAACGAATATCTAAGGAAGCTTTTGCGAAAGTTTCAGATAGGGCATTTTTGCACCAAATTCTGAAATTGGGCATTCTTCAATCTAATAACAAGGAGTTTTCAAAAAGTTTTCTGAGACAGGGCGTTTTCGAACTGGCTGCCGAGATATGTCGATCTTCCACTTGGCCGTCGATATGTACATACATATCGTCGTTTAAAGTGCAAAACCGCCTACCGTCGTTTACAAAACCGCGTAACTGACATTTGTGCCAAAAATTAGACTATATACTGCAAAATAACACGATAGTTACGATACCGCTCATCAAGAGAGCATACATTTTTACTCTCTCCTGTAAAATCTTGGTGACCTTACATAAAATTAAAATTATTATTTCAAATAACACTAATCAACAAATTTTGGACTTTTGATTTTATCTGAGATAAGGCTAGCCATTTCTAATAGATTTTGAGCAGCTAAACTCGAATCTCAACTCAGAATAGGTCTATCACGCCGTAAATATCGTAAGCTAAAATTGTGAAATATTCTGCTTTGGCATTATTTTGAGAATTCGAGCATGGTCGAGTCGGTTTTGTTTCTCTGGAAACTATACAAAGCACTTTAAAGAATAAGGCTAATCACAATCCGGGGGCAAATGAAACGGTTGATTTGGTAGCAAGCATATAATTTGCAAATACAAGACCATATACACCGGCTGATGATAACACTTTATATCCCTTGTTCCAAATTCTCGATTGAAAAATATGAATTTTCAGGGTAGGATATTCAAAAGAATTGGCTTTTACAGCAATTCTGAGCTGAGAGTCGAGTTGAGTGACTTAAAATCTATTAGCAATCACTAGCCTTATCTAATATCGAGCCCTAACCGCCAAAATAACGTAAGCGACATTTTTTCAAAATTTTCTTTTCGGCATCTACACAACATGTCGCTTACGTTATTTTGGCGGTTAGGGTTCGATATGTAATTTTCATGTCCACCAAAAAACTTTAAAATCTACATACATTTCTTAAAAAAATACATACACGTCGAGCCCTAACCGCCAAAAGAACGTGAGCGTAATTTTTTTCAAAATATTATTTTTGATGCAGAATTGCATCTGGATGCTCTAGGGGCATTTCTGCATTAAAAAGAAAATGTTTGAACAATACGTTTTTTGGCGGTTAGGGCTCGACAGTTTTATAGCTTTGAAATCGTCAATTGTTTAAGAATATGTGCCTAATTTTTCTTCCAAGGCAACCATTTTTAATGAAAATACGTTTGCCCTAATTGGCAAAAAAAAAAAAAAAAAAAAACTCACCCATTGTCCAATCGCAGCATAGATCACTAGGAAATAACATCAACCACAGATTTAGGTAAATGAGATAACTAAAGGTGAGCTGCCTGGTTGGTGTCGACGCCGCAGAAGCTGGATTGTCGAAACGTGTGAAGACCGGCAGTTGCGAGCCCATCACGTAAACACGACCGATCAAAAGTGCAGCCGTAATACAGATAAGAAAACACAAGCGTCGCAACAAACTGCCATTCCAAAGCCCGTTAGCTCCTAAACGACTATATTCGTCGGGCGACGACGATGCACTGGTTGCTGAGGCTGCGGTACCTTTAGCTGCATGCTGCGGTGTTAGAATATGTGTTCGGTCTTCGAAAAAGCGTTGCACACACAACCAAATTTCACGTGGGCGCACCTGCTGCACAACGAACAATTCGTAAGCAGCACAAATAGCCGCTATGGTGATGCCTTGCTCCTTGCACAGCATGGAAGCCAGTAAGCTACTGCCAAAACTGCAACACAACACCGACCAGCGAGTGCAACGATTCTTTAAAAAAGGCTGTTGTTGCTGCTGCAAATGCCGACGTTGAACTGGGGGCGATACTTCAACAGCGCTTGTATACGAGAGAAATGCGCCCAGAAAAAATATAGAAGAGAGTAGCTCAGCACGCCCTACCACACCGGTAACAGCCTCTGTATGTATGGGATGGACAGCAAACAACAGTGCCGCCAAGAAGCTACAAGTGTTTACGCGCAAACCATTACAATGCAGGGGAGCAGCCGCTACTCCCCCAGCGCCGGCGCAATGCAGTAGTAACAGTCTGCACACGTGACGCCACAACAGACACACAACAATGTGTAGCATTACATTTACAATGTGATAGCCATATGGTTGTAGTTCGTGCAGCCAATAGTTGAAACGAAAAGTAAGCACAGTGAGCGGGCGATACGATTTGTGCGATTGCTCTTTGCGCATTGGTGTACCCCAGAAGTCGTTAAGAAAAATATTACCAAGCGGTGTATACGGACGTAAATCCTTGTTGTCGCGTACGGCGCTAATATCATCGAAGACCAGTTCACATTGCGCGCTATTCCAGTAACATAACACGCATGCTAAGACGATGGTGAGAAACTGTAGAAGATTCGAGCTACTGCTGCTGCTCGGGCTGTTAGACGGGCTGCATGCAGCCACTCTCGTCTGTGGATGGACACCGCAGGAGCTGCCGTTCGTGCCGTTACTGCGCATCTTTTCGCTGTTACCATTATAGCATGTTACTCCGTATGCTGACATTATAACATAAGACTTCGTTTTAGACTTTCTCTTTTTGTGCTTATGGGCTACAATCAAATGTGTTGAAAGGTGTGTATGTAACAGTTTTATGCGAGTTTTTATTTCTCGGTTTACTTCTTTTTTTATGAAAAATATTTTGCTGATCAGCTGTTTCTTAATCAGCACTCAATATCCAATTATTAGCAGCTCTGGCTTTCCTCTTTTACTCTATTCTTGCAGTGGTAGCTGTTGTATCCTTAAACATACATATGTTTACGTATGTACATATATGTCATTTATGTACATATACAAACCTGCAAATGTAAGTAGTTGTAACTAAGTTGGAGTATGGTTACATTTTTTTTTTGCCATCTATATCTTGTTCGTTGCTATTGTATCTGCCGAATTCTTAGTTTTGCAATGTGTATACATTCACAAATGTGTACATTGACAACATTAATCTGTCGTTTAAAATTGCTCTAAGAGTGCCAGGTAATAAATTGTTGGATGAGCGACAAGTCTTGACCTTTGTGCTTATATCCGATTACGCTGTGATTACAATTGCAGCAGAGTTAATTAGAGTAGTATAGGCGATCTGTAAGCTGAATATTTTAAAACATACTTTAAAAATAGTTCAACCATTTGGAAAAATGTATATAAATGAATATGTAGTTGAAAGTACCTTGATATAAAGTCGACGTTTTACTAGGTGAATACACGCACCATTTGGTTTATGCATTTTTTTAAAATGCAGTTTTAAACAGCCAGTTATGTTGACGATGACGCGATTATAGGCTAGGAAGAGCAGGTTTAAAAATCGGTATTTTCTATTTACACACTTTATTATTAGATGGTATAGTTAATCGAAGAATTGCTACGCGTTCAAATGCAATATTTTGTGAAATTTGTGTATACTGTATATGAGGATTATGAAAATCTTCTGAAAACCAGTGTTAGAAACCTGAGGAACCTGAAAAGGAAAATAATTAGATTTTTCACGTAATTGAAGTAAAAAGCAGAGTGCGCACTAAATTATTGGCACAAGGAATTTTTCACAATATATGCAAAGTTCTTTACTTAAATTTTTTTGTTAATTTTTTATAAAAATGTTGGTCGTATTCACTACAAAAAAAAAAAACCTAAAAATAAAATCTTTGTGCAAAACGCCAGAAAATTGAATAAACTTTCATACATGTTTTCCACTTTTTAATCAGATTTTCTACAAAATTTTTATGTATGTAGTTTTAAAGCCGATTTAATTTTAGTATAACAAGTGAAAGTTTGAAGTTGGTAGAAAATCGCGTTAATTTTTGACAATTTTTTTTCAAGCAGTTCCTTTCATGAAAAGTATATTCAGACAATTCTTTTTTTTTTTTTGTTTTTTGAAGAAACTGCGAAATAAAAAATTATAGTTTAAAAAACTAAAACCTCCCTATTATGTTGTTGTTGTAGCAGCATACAAATTCCCCAAAGACTTTTTGGGGAGTGTTGCTGGAGTGACAGTCCTTGGCCAGATATAAATCTGGGTCGTTCCGGTTACGTAGACCCGACTGTCGTGGGAACGTTATCCCTATTATAATTGCCATTCGTATTGTCATCAGGTATGGAACTTGAGATTAGAAATCGCTGCATCTTTTAGGCGCATCAATATTACCAAGGCAAATTAATATAAGGCGATAGCAGGAGTACAAAAATAAAAATTTACATGTATTTTGTTTTTGCTTAGGCGGTATAAACTGTCAAAATCTGTAAGAGTGTAGTAGGCAATGCCAATGTCGTCGAGTCATACAATTTAGTCTAATTTACGACTTACGCAATGAGACTGATTAAATTGCGTAAGTTTTGCGCAAAGTTTAGCGATTTAATTTTCACTTTTTTCGATATAGTATGAAGCAGCTTCTCATAAAAATACAATCGCCGTTCGGAGTCGCCGTAAAACTGTGGGTCCCTCCCGTTGGTGTGACAACAACAATCGGAGGAGAAGCTCGGCCAAAAACTTACATATGTGTAAGCGCCAATCTATTAATATTATTGGCAGTGTCTACACACACGCGCCACGGTAACTTTTACCATAGACGTGGATTATGTGTTGCCGAAGAAGTGGGGCAGAACTTCTTTATGCGTAGGCGGCCTTTGGCCGCGCTTAAGGATTATAACCCTTACTAACAATTCTCCTTTCTGTGTTGCCGGAGAAGTGGGACAGAACTTCTTTCTGCGTAGGCGGTCTGGTCGCGCTTAGGGATTATAAC